AGTGCTGGCCCACACAAGGCTTTTAAGAAATTTTAATCAGGTTTGCCAAAGTTAAAAACCAAGAGATTTCTCATCAAAGCCTGGATTTCCGATTTTTCCTACCAAGTGGAGGATGTGGTAACATTTGCACACAGAAAAGGGTAGCTGGAACGAGCAGTGGCTGAGACCTGCAGATGGAGAAGTGCCCCGGGTTTCTCCCCTCGTCTATTTCACTGGGCTTCGGAGTTCGTGACCCTTGGTTTAAAGTCAGGCAGATGTAGACTGCAAAGCCAATCATTATTAGACTTTTCCCAAAAACATCCCCAATAGGAGACTCTTCAGCCAATATGAGGACAGCTGTGATCAAAGGTAAAGCATAGGAGACCAAAATGATTTGAGAAATTAAAAAAAAAAAAAACAGGAGTTGGGTCCATTTGGATTTCTGCTCTAAGATACTCATTTGGAGGGGGGATACATTCACCTTTATTACTTCATTTATTCTTCCCAACAATCCTGCAAGGAAGGAATTATTCCCAGATAAACAAACTGAAAATGAGTGATGTTAAGTCAGTTATCTACCCAAAATTATTCAACCAGTAAGTTGTAAAACCAGATTTTGAACCCAGTTTTGTCCAGCTACAAACACTGTGCTTTAAGAATACTGAAAGAACCCTTTATAAAGCCACGAGTCTTGCTTCTGCCTCAGGGCCTTTGCATCTGCCGTTCCGCTACTGGAAACCACTCTACCCAGATGGCAGACTCTTATTCTTTCACTTCATTTACTTCACCCTCACAAGGAAGTTTCCCTAGTCATTTGATTTAAAATAACCTAGGTGTGCACACACACACACACACACACACACACGCGCACACACCAATTTCTCTCTAGACTCCTGCTACTCAAAGTGAGGTCCAGAGATCAGCAGCATCTGCAGCACCTGAGAAGTTAGAAACGCAGACCCTCAGGGCCTTCCTCAGACCTGCTGAATCAGAATCCTACATGTTCACAACATCCCAGGTGACGCGTACACGTTTAAAGCTTAAAAGGCACTGCTCTACTAGGAGCCCTGCCCAGTGGAAATAAAATGTGAGTCACCAGCATGATGGTACATTTTCTAGTAGCCACACGAAAAAGGTAACAAGAAAGACTGTTTCCTGTCTCCCTTGCCCACCACTTAAATGTCAGTTTCAGGAGCACAAAGTATTTAGTCACCACTTTATCCCCTGTCCTTACAACAGTTCTGGGTACATGGTAAATATTATTAAAATGTTGGTTAAATGTAAGAAGGAAGAAAGGGAAACATCTTGCTAGTATTTTGTGTGTGGTGGTGGGATACAAAGGAAGAAACCAAGAAACAAGCATCCTGAAATTGGACAGATGTGGTCAAGCTCAACCACTGACCAAATGAGCAACCCTGAGCAAGTCATTTGCACTCCAAGGGCCACCTGTAAAACACGAAGGCTGCTATGTCGCCCACAACCCTCATTATGATGCTCAAACATGAGAGGACGTCCACAAAGCGCCCGGGTCCATAAAGAACAGGCATTCCCTAACTGCCAGTGTCTTTCTGGCATCCTCCCTCAATCTCCAGATACCCAGTGCAAACAGTGCTGCAGACCACCTTCCTGAGGGTAGCACAAGCATGACTATGGGAACCGTCTTCCTGAGTGATTTTCCCTTAGCCAATGGGAGGAGCGTATTCACTGTTGGCAGTGCAGACCATTTGAAACCATGGAGGTCCCCTTCCCATCGCCCTGGGCCTGAGGTGTTTCCAAAGCCAAGGTCAGGGTTGCTGCACAGTCTGTAAGCCATGGGGGAGGTCACACCGCAAGGCAGCCCTGTCACTTGGATGAGTTCTGCCGTGGCCGCCAGGTCCCACCCCCTTGAAGAGTATAAGGTCTCTGCCCAGACAGCTTGGAGCAGCCTGTTCTGGAAGGTGCTTTGGGGCTTAGCCCTTTTATTTTACTGGTCTGGACGGGTGAGGAGAGGAGAGTCAAGTCTACCCCCCCCAACACTTATGAGTCATGGGCCTGGGTCAATCCACCAAGGGAGGCTTGCTTCTCCCATAGCTTTAACAATCCCATGCTAATCCATTAGTATATCTGGCCCTGAAATCTGAGGCACGCATTCCAATCTCAAATGTGTTTTTAAATCACATTAGATCAACAGCATAGGAGAAAGCAAAACCTGGATTTAAACAAGACTGGAGTGACACGGAGGACAAAAAAACTCCCAGGGCTGCTCCGCTGGGATAGGACAAAAGCCCAAACCAATGCTGCCGGGAGCTGCCCCCAAATTCTCGCTTCTCCCTCTGGCTGATAACAGCAAACCCCAGAAACACTTGCAGAATTAGGCTCTCGCAGAAGCACTTCGACAAGAAAAAGGGAAAGAAAACAAGGGGGGGAGAGAATCAAAACCTTTCATTCATCTGTGGCCCTCTCCTCTGGCGAGTAGAAGAAGATTTTACATAGACTACTCCGCGGATGGTGAGGAAGTGTGGCCATTCAAGTACATTCAAGCACAGATGCCGCCATTTATAAGATGCAGTTGGAGCAGGGAAACAAGAGGAAAGCTTTCCTTTACTGGTTTGAACTGATGCCACCGTTTCCTTTTCTACAATATAATGAGGATGTCATCCCCTCTTCCTCCAGGGGAGAGAGACAGGAGCCTGAAGAGACAAGAGCCTGTGAAAATCCCACAAACACCCTCAAAGCATTGGGGTCCCTCGTAAGGCTGGAGAGGTATCCAAGCAGCCCCAGCACACTCCCATGGGCCAAAGGGGTTTCTAGAAGTCTCAGCAGCCAGGCTTGGGTGGCTACTGATACCGTCTGTGTTACACAGATTCTTCTCCAGCACTTGCAGTCGGCACCTATAAGCACTACAAGGATCTGCCGTGGGTGAGACACTGGGGTCAAGGATGGGGAGGCCACAGAGAAATCCCATGGTCCTGTTAAATGAGGATCAAGGGAATCTGCCCATATGTCTTCAGTATCACAGTTCTGTGGATGGGTACCGAATATTCACACTCAGCCCCAAAGACCACATGAGGGACAGCCAGGAGTACCACAGCGCTAGGATAGAACCTTCCACAGCCCTATCATGCCTGTCTCCATGCCTCCTCTTCCCAGCCTCGGCATGAAAGAAGATTAAGAAAATCTGGCATCTCCTGTCCTCTCATTCAGAAAACTCTCCGGCCCCACCAATGGGACCTCCTGACACGCATTCCTCCACGAACCCTTCATCAAACTTTAAGGCATCTGAATAAAACACTTCCTTCTCTATTTCCAGCTGCTACAAAGCAACCCGAACACATGTTGGAAAGATGTGATCTTTATGCCTCGCTCTCCCCCAGAAGCGTACTTGGCACTTCTCCCGAGATACACAGCTTTAAAATTAGAATTCAAAAAGCCACCGTTACCCATTACCCTCGTAGGGCCAAGGCTACCTCACAGCAGAAACCAGAACATCCCCATAACCAACAGTTAAAGAACTGAAACCCTCCCAGACATCATACCCCTTCTCGATATTGTTGTTGTTGCATTAATCATCCTAACACCTTTTTAATTATAATCGCAAAGTGGAAGCCATGGCTCGTGATGTTATAAATACTGATTTTTCCAGTTAAATTAGGCATTTGCTGTTTTATGTTTTGATAGGAAGGGGCTGTTTGAAGCCTCCTAAAATACTGCAATTAGATTTTGCCGTTGAAACAGACAAGACATTAACAGACACATTTGCTGTTTCAGTTTAATGTGGTGGAATGTTTATGCCTAAGTGTACTTCTCTCAAGCTTTGAAAGCATAAGGCATATTTTTTAAAGTGGAAGAAATCAATCACAATATACCCATTTATTATCTATTTCTTAAGTTAAGCTATTTCTAAAACTTTTCCCAGGCTGTAATTTAAACTTGGAAAGCACATCTCTTCAACAGGAAGGGAACTTGTCAGGAAACAATCCTATTTTACCTATTGGCTCTGTTAAGATGATAACATCACTTTAGCTGACAAAGCCTGTGTTTCTGTTTGACAATTGCAATTAATTACTGAGATGCAACAGAGATGGGGCCAGCCATCCAGATCTATTTTCCAGAGAGATCCAAAACGGAAGGAAGGGGGGGAGGCGGGAAGCAAAGGAGGGTTTTTTTTTGGAATTGCACCAGTATGGAGTTAAACACTGTGGCTGGCAAGAAAGCTGGATTATTAATTTATTTTACCTGCACCTAACTTTCTACTCCTCTCTTCTCCCTTTCTCTCACCACGGGCAGAGGGTGGAAAAGGAGAGAGGTGAACATTTCACAAGCCAGAAGCTCCAATCTGTAGCGAAGGAGGCGCGGGTTAGAAAGGGCACGGGTGCAGTGCAAAGAAACTCTTAGGGCACCAACTGTCATGTAGACACTGATGCTGCCGAGGCAGAACCAACCCAGGGTTCATTCAGCCAAGGGGGATAGAAAGTTCTGGAGATGGGGGGCATCCCCGGTCTTTACTAGAAAGCCAGAACTTGCCAGCATCATCTTTTTAACTGTTTCCTGTTCATTTTGCTCTAACCTGAAAATACTAAAGTTGGATTCCAGCCACGCAAATGCGTTTCAGGGCGATTTGGAGAGATTCCAAGGGATCTCAAAGCCCCTAGAGCCATCTAGCTACCCTGCTTCATTCCTCGGCGTCCCCAACGCAGAAGCCCAGAGCCCCGCCAGAGCCCGGGCTAGGAAACACCCCGCGGGCAGGAAGGCTGGGGATTCCCAGGCCAAGAACTGGGCAGATTCAGAAGGCACGGAGCCAGAGGCAGACAGAAGCAAGGCGACACCTCCACCCCTCGCCCTGAAATAAAGTGATCCTCGGCCAGAGTCCAGCCCTCTCCGCCGCTCCGCTCTGAGCGGCCCCGCCAAGGTTGGCAGAGCCCCGGTTGGGGCTTAAGGGCTCTCGGGACGGCGGCGCCTGGGTGTCCAAGGGCCCAGAAAGCGGCGGCTCGCGCCGGGTCTCCCGGTGCGTCCATCCCATCCCGCCGAGCCCCGGGTCCTACCTGTACCACTCCAGCCCCTTTTCGTAGTTCCTGTCGAAGAAGTGCGGCTCAACGCCCACCGCCCGCACGTCTGGGTGGACTCGGATCGCCTCCAGCAGCGCGCGGGTCCCTCCTTTCTTAACCCCGATGATAAGAGCCTGTGGCAGCTTCTTCTCCCCATAGTCCGGGGTGCTCGCGGCGCCGCCCCTCTCGCTGCTCCCGTTGGCCGCTCTCCGGCCTGCGAGCTCCTCGTCGGTGGTGCTGGACTCCTGCGCTTCCCTCTCCAGTAGCGCGCTCTGCGCCGTGATCATCTCGCCGGGGGCCAGCGGGGTCCGGAGCCAGGCGTCCCGGGCGCCCCCGCCGCCGCTCGCCAGCCCCCAGCCGTCGGCCCCGGGGGCGGCGGGCTGTTCGGGGGGCTCGGGCGGCTCCCCGCGGCTCACGTTGTCCGGCGGCGGCGGCGCGGGCGGCTGCGAGGGGGCGCCGAGGCGCACGGGGGGAGGCGGCAGAGAGGGTGGCGGCGGGCTCGGTGGGGGCTCGGCGGCGGCGCCCGGCGGCTCCTGCAGCGCCAGGGGGAACTGCAGGGAGCCCGAGCCGCCCAGGAGGCTGTAGCACAGGTAGGTGACGGACAGGGACAAGGTGCACATAAAAAGAAGCTTGCGCGCCGGCGGCCCCTTAGCAGAGACGCCGGGCGGCGGCGGCGCGGCGAGAGGTGGAGGCGGAGGCGGAGGCGGAGGAGGTGCGGGCCACGGGGCCATCGCGGCTCCCGGCTCGCGGCGGCGGCGGCGGCGGCCCCCGGCGCTGCCCGGACATGGTTTCAGCCGCCGCCCCCGCCGCCGCCGCCGCCGCTGCCCAGCCGCCCCGGCTGCATGAAGCGACGCCGCTGCGCCCCCGGCCCTGGCCGCTGTCCCGCTGCGCCGGGGGGGAGCCCGGCCGCATGGCCCCCCTCCCCACTCTTCCCGCGGAGTCCGGGCGGCCCCCCACCACCCCCCTCAGCCTCTGTCAAGGGGACCGAGGGGGGCGCGCGGACCCGCCGGCTGCACCTGCTCCGTCTGCAGCGCCCCCGCTTCCCCGGCTCCGCCGCGGCTCCTGCTTCAGCCTCTGCCGCCGCCGCCGCGCGCTGTTGCAGCCCCGAGTTCCTTCCCCGCTGCTAACTTTCTGCCGGGAGAGCCGAGAGGCGCGGAGTGGAGGAGGAGGGGGCCGGGCGCGCGCCCCGCGCCGCCGAGGGAAGGGGAGTGCGCCTCGCGCGCGCCTGCGGAGGGGGGCGCGGAAGCGGAGGCGTGCGCTGGGGCTGGGGCGCCCGGGAGAGCGGAGATCGTGCCCCCCCCGCACTCGACACACACGCACTGGAGACGGGCCCCGCCCAGCCCCGCGTGCTTCTCCTCCCCGGGGAGCCTGGGACGCTGAGCTCTCCATCCCTCTCCCGATACTTTTAGCGACACGGAGACCGACGCCAGCCGCCGGTGCCGCGCACCGGGGAGCTGAGGGCCGGAGGACGGCGAGCTGTCGCTTCCCCTTTTCCCCTGGGACTCCAGGCCAACCCGGCCCATCCCTGACCCGCCCTTCTCTCACCCTGGATATCCTCCTGCCGGGGGCCTGGGAATGATTTCTTCTCTGTAACTGTTTTCCCATCCAAACTTCCATCTTTCCAGCCTCCCCATCTTATCTTGGAGCTCCTGGTGGGTGGAGTTGTGACACAAGCCCCCAGGTATCCCAGACCCAGAGCTTTTGCCTCTATCCCGCCAGTGGTGACTGTGCTTTCTGCTCCAAAAGAGGAGGCTGTCCCCTACCCGACACCCTTAACCACAGGTACACCTGCGCCCCTTGGAGGCATTGCCACTAAAGGAGTTCAGATTTCTCTGGACTGAAATAGACTGAGGCGATCATCGTTCTGAACACCTAATAAGCAGAGACAAGTTGGGTTGCAGGGTGTCTGTGCATCGCTTAACTGAATTTTTTAAAGTATATTTTCTTTGCAGAGAGATTTCCATCCCTCACCTCCCTCTCCTGGGGGGAATGGTAAACATCAGAAGGCTCTGGAAGATTCAAAACTAGACACTGCTTCCCATTGCGTTTTGCTCGGGGAGGTAGCGGGAATGGGAGGAAGAGGCAGAGTGATAAACTGAGGCACTCTAGCAAATTCTGCTTCCTGGGGACAGGGGCTGGCCTGGCACACCCCCTGGGCCAGGCTCCCCCAGGCTCTAGCTCCAGCGTGAGTCTTGTTTACCCTGCTAGCCACAGCTGGGTGCCTGGTGGGACGGCTTTCCCTGGGCAGGCTGATGTGGTTGGCATCTCCAGTTTTGTTTGATCACATAATAGGAACAACAGTTGAGGAAAATGTATATAATGTCTAAATATTAACTAGATACCTAGTGCCAAAGAGGGGGAAGAATGTTAATCAAATAAGATGAAGAACACGGACTTTTCCTTGAGTGAACAAAAGCTCACTGCTGCTCTCAGCTGGACATGAGTTTCCTTCACTGCAGCTTTAGTTCAGATAAAGATTATTCCTATATAATATATTTTTTACGGTACACTGGAGACCTCTGAAATGCAGAGTCTGGTGTCCTGTAAATCATTCCCTGTAACTAGGGATGCTTTTTCAAACACCACACAACTGCATTACTGTAATGTTAATGGGATGAGGCCAACTGGAGCAGAGAGAAACACGCGCTTGGCCCATCCCTCTTTCCACTGGGAGCCCAGTTCTGGGTGGTCAGCCAGGAGGTCCCAGTTGTAGCAAATCTTGCCACTGCCATGGCCCATCTTCCTTTCAACGCCCAGGTACCAGGACACCCAGCATCTGGCCCAGGGCTCTCTGTGCCTGGAGCCCACATTTCTCCATGCACCTCCTCGACAATCCACATGAACCTGCTCTGTATCTAGCTTTACTACACATGCACTTTTCCAATTTGGAAAGGTTTTGATCCAATGGCTTTAAAATTGAACCCAGAGATGACAAACGGAGAGCTGGGTGTGGCCAGCAGAGTGATATTAAGAAATTTAAACTGGTTGCAATATTTTAAGTTGAGGGCTTCCCTCCCCCCACCGCCTGCCCCCATAAAATCTGGGTATGAGATTTCTGTTGAAATAGCAGATTGTCCCCACACCTTTCTCTTACTTGCCTGGGCACTGCCAATGAGGAAACTTGCCAGCATCCCTTCTGCCTCTTGTCCCCAAATAGTCACACATGAGTAAGAGACTCTTGACAGAATAAAAGCCACTGGTGAAATGTTAGGTCCCATAACTGATGGGGAAGAGGTGGCCTGGGGGGAAGGAGTTCTGTAGACTTCTTACTTAGGCAGTTGCCTATTTTTTTCCCACTCCTGACCCAGGCTTTTTCTGGGGGCAAATTTTTGAGAAACCTATAATGAAAAGTAGGAGCCACCTACATAGGGAGAACTCAGACTTCATTCAGCAATTCCCAATGGGTCTGGAGACTGGAAAGGATTTTTTTTTTCTGTTTCCACCACCAACACCCATGCTCATTCAGGCTTCTCAGAGTTTTTACAATATTCCTCCAGCTGGTCTCCAGGTCTGCGGGGTGCCTCATTTCCAAACATCCCAGACACCAATAGCAGATCAATCAATCAATCAATCAATCATAGCTCTGCTAATGCCCTCTGTGGCTCAAAACCTCTCTCTCACTGCCTAACTAATAAACTCAAACCTCTTTACCTTTGTACTCAAGGTCCCCTCCCACCCTTCATGTACCTCACAGTCCCGCCAAACCTAACAGTACCTGCTCTCCAAGCATACACCTTGCATGGTTCTGTTTCACCTCTGTATGCTCAGATGATAGCGTCAAAGTGAAGCTGTCCTTCGCTGGCTCCGTGGCTTTTGGGCAGGTCATTTCACCTCTCTGAGCCTCAGTGTCTGCAGATATAAATCATGGATAATAAGACTCACCTCGAATTGTTGTCATAAAGAATGAAATTGACTTAGATAGCATATGCAAAAATACCTGGCTCCCTGCCTGGCGTGTGGTGGCTCCCAGTCATTATTTGGATCTAAACTTTGGCTCCTGCCATGCCTTGCTTCTTGAAATCTCATCCTTGAGAAATATGTGTGTGCCCTTTCTTCAAACCAGCCCAATGTGTAAACCGAAGTTCACCTTCCTAATCTGCTCAGTAGCATATATAATGCCAAGTCCAATGCCTTCTGTAGCTTTTCTCTTTTTTAAGCGATAGAAACTAACTCTGGCTAACTTCAGCTTGGTTTGGTCTTTTGTTAAAGAAATTTACTAGGGGCGCCTGGGTGGCTCAGTTGGTTAAGCATCCACCTTGGGCTCAGGTCATGATCTCAGGGGTCCTGTGATGGAGCCCCACATCATGGGGCTCCCCCCTCAGTGGGGAGTCTGCTTCTCCCTCTCCCACTGCCCCCCCTCCTGTGCACATGCACTCTCTCTCTTAAATAAATATATAAAAATCTTTAAAAAAAAAAGAGAGAGAAACTTACTAGAAGGATATATAATAACTCACAAAACAAAAATCAACAAACCAACAAGAAGCAAAAGTTGGCTTTGGAATATAGTCAGCTCTCCTGTGGCCCACAAGAGAAATCTATTTTCTTGACCCCTTAAAGTTAGGCCCCACTGTGTGGCCCTCTGGCTGATGAAGTTTGAGCAAAAGTGAAGTGGTATGTTCTAGGCAGAAGCTTTGGCAGACGGTGGGAGATTCACCGGGGAAGTCAGTGTGTTTTTCCCTGACAAATGTTCAAGAAATTGGATGGACCCTCTCTCAACTACCATCAACTCGATCCTCCACATGGAGCAAGGTTAGGGTCATTCCAGCCCCTGATGACATGGTAGCCTGATCAAGAAATAAACCTCGGTTGTTCTCAGCTCCTGAGACTTGGGGCTTGGTTGTGAACACAGCACAACCTAGCTGATCTGAATGATGAAAACGTACATACCATTCATTTCCTCTGCTGTTGAGCAGAATGACTTCAGTAAACCAATATTAGAACTCCCTTTCACAGAGTGAATGGATGGCACCAGGACAGTAGAGGCAGAACTCTTGTCTCATATCTAGCAAATAGATTTCCCCATTTTGGCTTTTACCTATCAATAAAAAGTATATCGGTAGCAATCAGAGGTAAATCTCCAGACAAAACCAACGTGGTAACAAAGAGGAACATTATATACTTATAAAAAGAGCAAAAGATTAAAAAATAATAATGCCATGACCTTATGGAACCTTGCATTGGAAAGGATCCCACACGGAAATCAGGAAATACTTAGAGCCGAAAGAGCAAAATCTGGCAGATGGAATTAAGCAATACTTATATGAAAGATTGTATCTTCAATATACTTCTCCAAAAAGAAGAAAAATTAAAAACAGATGAGCTACATGTTCAACTCAAGAAGCTAGAAAAAAAGAGCAAGAGAGTAAAGTCGGGAAGAAAGGAAATGATAAAAGATAAATGCCAAACATTTGTTTATATTTAGGTGCTGCTTCTTTACTGCTAAGGATTGAATTGTGTCTCCCCAAAAAACCATATGTTAAGGCCCTAACCCCCAATGTGACCATGGCCAGAGAACAGGTCTTTGGGAAGTAATTAAGGTTAAAACAAGGTCATGATGGCGGAACCCTGAGCAGATAGGATTGTGGCCTCATAAGAAGTTGAAGAATTATCTCTGTTTTTTCATTTACCCCGCCAGGTGAAGACGACCAGGAAGAACATGCTGGCACACTCATCTCAGACCTCCAGGCTCCAGAACAGTGAGAAAATACATGTCTGTCCTTGAAGTCACCCA